ATATATATATATATATATATATATATATATATATATATATATATATATATATATATATATATATATATATGTACACACACACATAACTAGCTTAAACTATCTGGCGTTATCGGAACTATCAGGGCTTCTTATATATCTATAACATTTAAACTTAAATTATCATAAAGTATCAAGAGAAAATCAAGGAGAGAGTGTAGGATGTCTAAGTTTTCATGTAGTCTATATTTTTTGCAGAGTCCTAGAAAGTAACTATTAAAAATTTGGTTTAAATTGATCAAAAGATTTATAAGTTAGCAAGGAACATACAGACAGACATTCTACTTTATATATGTACATGTATAAATACATATTTAAATTATTTGTTATGATTTACAATAAATCTCACGCGTTATCTCTTTGATTAATTGTACTATGTACAGCAATTACTTCTTTATTATCTATAGAGTTGTTTGCATCCTTCTTATCTAAGGGAGTTATGAGTAATAAAGCTGTATTCTTCTTTGATGGCATGGTCTTGATATTACTGATATCTTTCACCATCTTGGTTATGGTATTTAATACATCATTCTACATATTAGAAAAAGATATATGTAATTAATATTATAGAAATATATCTTGTGTGTGTGTGTGTGTGTGTGTGTCTATTGATAAAACTTCCTATATAGTTTGACAATTAACTTCATAATTTTATCCTATTTGTATACTATATAAAAAGCTAAAAGGAACCGAAGGAACTCACCTCCTTAGTGTCATCCAGAGTGATGAAAATTTTAACTTTGTTGTTTTTGCTCAACAACTTCACAATATTTTTTATTTTTATTAACAGATCATGCTTAGTGATTGTTGCAGATATGTAAAGCAGTTTAAAGCTCTTCTGCTTGTCATCCTGCAAGAGTTCTGTTTTGTCGACCAATTTGCTTGTGAGTTTGTAAGCAGCTCGGCACGTTTTGCTGTCCGGATCACTGACCTGATCATTCCATAATAGGCCATTGTTTTTATTGTTCCATAATTGTCCATTAAGTATTTTTTTATTGTCTAACAATGAATAGATTCTAATAAATTTCTTTCTTTATCTCTTTAAAGAAATGAAAAATTTTGCACAAATATATATGTAACATTACATGAAATATTATAGGATGTATCGTGATATCTACAAAATGAAATAATAATATAAAAATAGGAAGATCAGTTGACCTTAATAAGATTAAGGTTTCGGTGCTTCGCCAAACGCTCAGCCTTCTCCAGATCAGTCACTACCATCGAATTATCCAATGACAACAACGTGATCTTTGGCACTGGTACAGTTTTCGGTCTCTGTTTTGGTTTAGTTGTGGTATCTTCTAAAATAATCGTTTTACGATTGCTAAATTCTCGGCATTGATACATGTCAAATTTACGTATCACATAACATTGGCGCTCAAAGCCCTGGGTCATATATGTAGCTCTTCGTAGAGCCATTAGCAACTTAAAAGTAATCATGTTTTGACACTTTGTGCTTCTTTCATAATCTGAATATAACCTACAAGTTAGATATCCTTCCTTCCTTCAATATTTGGCTAGAGGCGCATCCAATACAAGTTAGATATAATCTCTATGATATCTGAAGCCCATTCTACAATTGCGTGAACGTGGTTGTAAGTGGTTGTATGTGATACGACAACCAATCAGAATAAAGCAATCAGTAAATAAAACATTCGGATTGATTGTCTCTTACGATCACGCTACGCTTACGCAATTGTAGAATGGGCTTTAGATTGGGTGCGTTCAGCAGATAAAAGCGCTCAGTGAGCACTCGATGTTTATTGGTTTATTCTGTTGGTTCCCTATATTTAGACCAATTACGTTTACGAATCACTCAACAGTTGTACAACTGTTGTGTCTACTGAACGCGCCCATAGACTGCGTTCCTTTTGGGCGCTCACGCGCTGTAAGGGCTATCGCACACAAATTGACATAACTACATATGCATAGCATGAGACCATATGTACCAATGAGCATCGATGCATCGAGTATTAAGTCGCCATATTGGTGTTCGATGCTTAATATTCGATGCTCATTGGTCCATACGATCTTATGCTATGCATATGTAGTTATGTCAATTTGTGTGCGATAGCCCTAAGCGCCATTTTGGGTGCTTTCCAGTTGCGTACACTGTGTTACACAAAATCAGTTTATTGGTTCCATATTATCTTATAAGATATTTTAGATAATATGTGACCAATAAACTGGTTTATGTACGTGTGTGTCAAGTGATCTGTTCTTTTTAGCTGCACTGCTGAACTGGTGCAATAAGTTAGAATGAGATAAATATATTTTTTCTCACTTTAACTTATTGCACCAGTTCAGCAGTGCAGCTGAAAAGAACAGACTAAAGATGTGTTACAATTGGAAAGCACCCTATCTTTATTACTCATTAGATGCGGAAGGAAGATAGAATGACGCTTATAAGCGGTTAAAGCGCGTAAGCGCCCAAAAAGAACGCAGCCATAGAATGACGTGACGTTGATAGCGCGCTTACCGAACATACCCTTTGAATGTTTGAATTTTAATCTATAAATTTTTTTTTATAGTATCATTCATTGAAATCGGAAGAGAAACATTTAGGATAGATAATAATTAAAGAGAATTAGCACGTTTAGAAAAGTAGAAGCAATTTCGCTGAAAGAAAAGAACATAACCTACGAATTTAGACATAACCTATAATCTAACACTTCTTATGTACAATCCAGTGTAACGATGCCAGATTGCTTCTACCATTCGGTACAGAGCTTGTTGCGATATTTGGGATCGTTGTGCTCCTGCAAAATCCAGTCCTCATTTTTGTCGATGAACCAACGTTTGATAGACATTTAACAAAGCCTTTTTGATTCTCACCATTTTCTCGGCATTCAGGTTATAGTAGGTAAAGGATGTAAAGTGCCAAAACCCTGCTCTGAGAAGCAGCCCCAAAGATGAACCTTTACTCTGTACCTTTACTCTTAACGGGTCGCCAGACAAGCCTATTGATAGGGGTTGATCAGGCTCGCGTAAGAATACAACGTGCCCATACAGAGCATTCGTCGATAAAAATTATATTGCTAAAATCTCGATCAATGTTCTCGCGCGCCCAAGCGAGTCGCTTCTTCACA